CTGTTCTTTCTAACAACAATTAACAGTAGAAAAGAGTATGAGACTACCTCCTTAAAGATTGGTTGCACTCAAGCATTAGCTCCTACAGCTTCTTGTACTCATTCCTAGCTGCAGAGAGGTCCCACGCCTTCTCCTCCCATCCATTCCTCTGGTTCTTAATATCCCTTTTCATCCTTTCTGCATCCCCGGCATTATTCCCTTGCTCCTCCACCCTATTCTTCAACTCCTCGTTCTCTGCACAAATCATCTCCTTGGCTGCAACCTTAGTCTCCAAGCCTTTCTCCTTCTCCTCTAACAGCTTCTCCATCACCATCATATGCCCTTCTAACTGTTCAATCATGGAATGAAACTTCTTCACATCTTCCTCCAATGGACTCTTCGCATTCTCCAACACATTTTTCTTTGATGGCCCTTTCTTCATCGCCTCCAGCTTCTCCTCTGGAGTCTTCACGTTCCCCTCCCAAAACATTCACATTCTCAATCAACCGCTCCCTTTCTTGTTCCAACTCCTGCTTAAATTGATGTCCACTTGATCATCTTTTCCCCTGAGGTAATGCAAATAACTCTCAATAGCATAGCTCAACTCCTTATTCTCCGAAGCAGGTGGTTGAGCAGAACTCAGCCAGTTATCATCAAATTTACACAACTGAGCAAGCCAGTGAATTGCTGCGAATAGACTAGGCCAATGATGAGGTGTCCCAGCGGTGCATAATGTAGATTTGTTCAATTTCACTGGGCAATTTAAGGATTTCATTAGGGTTTGGAGTTTATCTTCTAGTTTTTGCGACTCTAATGAGGACAATTCAAAACGACAGAGGATAAATTTAAGGGTTTCGGTGATATCTTTGGCAGAAGGGAGAGGAGGTTCGAGAGGAAAGGTACGCATTGATTGTGCGCATAGCAGAGAGTTGATAGGAGCGGTCGGAAATGGGGATAGCGAAGGACCGGGAGTTTACACCGATAGATGAAGGGCGGCTACCGGCAAAGCTTGTAGCGGAATCACGGACGCCGGCAGTGCCGGCTCTACAGCTTTGAAAAAAAAGGCAACTGCCTTAGGCCCCAAAATTTGAGGGGCCTCATTTTTTAAAAATACAATAGATTATACATATTTTTTTTTAAAAATATCGCGTATAATTTGTAGAAAATATAATTTTTTCATCAAAGAGCAAGGAAATAATAGAAGTTTGATAAATTATAAATACTATGTCTCAAGAAAGATTAAATAATTGGCTATAATCAGAGGCGAATCCAGGATTTTAAGAAAACGGGTGCACCATTGCTTTAAAGATAATATCAAAAAAATTATAATAACAATAACTAAGCGAGCAATACATAAAAATTACATTACCACAAAAAATATCATCAGTTTACAATTGTACTCGACGAGACTTCATATTTTGAAAACGATTTATAATAGCATCATTACTTACATTTTCAAATATCTTCCGCTCTATCTTACAAACTAAACATCCATTCAAAAATTCTTCACCAATGCTATTCAACTTAATTAGTCACAAATTTAACTAGCAAATTTAAAATAAAATAAGAGAATCGCATATCTTTCACAATAAAAAATAAGGGAATCACACCCTTGAAAGTTCAAATAAAATAGAGGAATCACAATCTTTACAAATCTAACTAAAATAGAGAAATCACACCCCTTTCACATTTAACAATAAGAAAATCACACATTCATAATAAAAAGAGGACTTATGCCTCTTTTGCAATCACATAGAAGAGGAATCACACCCTTTTCACATTTAAAAAAAATAAGGGAATCACACCCCTTTCACATATAAAAAAAAAAAGGGAATCACACCCCTTTCACATTAAAAAAAAAAAAAGGAATCACACCCTTCAAAATTGATAATATAATATGAAACACATTCCCTACAAGTTACATTCGCAAAATATGTACGTTTGAGATAATCAGTTCTTTAGCTATTGATGATTTTCTATTATAAGTAATGACAAGATTTTTTTATATGAAAACCCTAAATTAAAGTGATATATATATATATATATATATATATATATATATATATATATATATATATTTATTTATTTATCTTGTTAGTTTGTTTATTAAAAAGAGAAATCATGAACTAAAATTACCTTAAACTTTGACAATGATGATTTATCTAAATTCTTGACTTGAAGTTGGAGACTTGAAACTTCTTCTTTGTGTGGAAAATAGAAAATAAATTTGAAGAGAGGAAAAATGTGGAAAATAGAAAACAAATTTGAAGAGAGGAAAAATATTGTTGGAACTTGGAAAGTGTGTGGGAAGGAAACTTTTGAAGTCTTTTGACTTTTAAACTTTCAGAATTTAGCTTTTTCTTTCTTTTTTTTTAAATGAAAAATGTGTTTTTAGTTAATAAAAATAAATTGAAGCGAATTGGAGCTGCCTGGGATCGAACCTGCGACCTGTGAGTTGAAATCTTGCAGTGGTACCAGTGAACCATCCAGCCATTTTGAGAACGGGTTCAACAAGTTTTAATTTAATATATTCTTTAATAATTATAGAAGTAATATATCGAGTTTAGTCGGATGACCACGGGTTCGGGTGACCCAAAATTAGTACATAAATTCGCCCCTGGCTATAATAAACTTCATAAAAAATATATATTCGAATTTAAGGCCTCCATTCGGATTTTGCTTTAGGCCACCGATTTATTAGAGCCGCCCCTGGACGCCGGTGGAGAGAAAATGCCGAAGATGGCGGTGGACGTCGCCGATCCGGCACTGCTGAGTTCACACGGCGGCGTCCGGCGCATCTCTTGTCGGAAATTGTGGAAAATGCTGTTGTTGATCTGTATAGTGAAAGGTTTTCGAGTTCCCGCTTTGCAATTGAGAAATAGGTTCCTCCTTTTGGACGAATTTTGAACTGCGCGCCAAAATCAACTAGAATTATGATATACTGCCGGCTTTTTCCCCTTTTCATGAATTTAAATCATACACATAGTATTAAAAAAATATTACTAGTAAAATTATCCGCGCTTCGCGTGGGAATTTAATACCACGGAATTTATAAATAATACTTAAAATCTATCGGTCATTAAAACTAAAACACTATATTATCTTACATACAAGATTACATAGTAACAAACATTAATATTGTTAATGAAAATTATTACATTTTATCATTTATCCTTAATAACATAAGTATAAATTAATGATTGTAAAAGTACATATCGGATCTATAACATAAGCAGTGGTATCAGTGAGCCACTCAAAAGGAGAAAAATACACAAATATTTAATTGTGAAGAAAAAGAAGAGGTTCAAAATTTTCGTTATTTTAAAATGAGAGAAGATCCCTCTATTTATAGATAACAAAGGGTAGTGTGAATAAATGTTTATTGTGCCTTATCGGAAATGTTACAACTATTTGGAAAAGTTGTAATTCTTCGAAAAAGTCACAACCTTTCATAAAAGTCACTACTTTTCATAAAAGTCGCAACTCTTCATTAAAGTCGCAACTTTTCATAAAAGTCGCAAATCTTCATTAAAGTTGCAACTTTTCATAAATGTCATAACTTTTAATGAAAGGGTAAGGCTAGTTTTGGAAATAAATAAATTAAAAGGAAATTCTGGTTTGTGGTGGCGCCACGTAGGCGTGCCTAATGTTCTCTTTTATATATATATATATATATGATTATTACAACAACCGCAATGAGTATCTATATCGTGGAATTACAAAGGCTATTTTCAAAAGATACTCAAACTCGAGTATAACAAATTCAAGTAAGAAGAATAAAATGAAGAAAATCATGGAAATTATTTAGCAACTAATAAGGGAGGTAATGCAAAAGCTGCAATAAATGAATAAAAAGTTAAAAATCATAGGATAATTAAAATATAATGAACAACAAACAATGATAGATATCAAAAGCAAGAACTAATGCGACAACAAACATCAACATGCCTAAGACATTAGAAAATAAGACAACACTCCATTGGTTTATTAACCTTTTACCCCAATAAGTGGCCTCCACGTCCTCATGTTTAAGGTCGTATCCTTGGTAATTTGAAGTTAGTTGTTTTGTGTTGTGTCTAATCAATTATCACAATACTTCTTCTGCCTACTCTACCGCTTCTCGTACCTATTGTAACCAACCTCTCGTACCTCCTCACTAAGGCATCTACACATCTTTTTTTCACATGTTCAAACCATCTCAACGTTACTTTCTTTGTATTGTCTATCACAAGAGCCTGCTCTAACCTTATTTTGAATATCCTTATTCATAATTTTATTGCTAATTGTATGTCCACTCTAAATATACTATTAGAGTATAATATATTTAATTTTCATTTTTAGTAGATTACCAAATAAATTTTATGAGAGATTTATCTTACAATAACATATTTAATGTAATTTTACAGAGTACAAGAAGGTAAATATGTATGCAAATCCTACTCATTTATAATAGAATAAATCGTTTTTGATAGACTTTCAACTCAAGTAACAAACATTACAAATCATAATGAAAAAAGGAAACATTGAGAGAATAAAGGAATCAAGACATTTTTTTTTTAAGAAAACAAGACAAATCATACTAAAAACACAACAGTCTCTACGACAAAATAATATGATGATCGAAGTGCTATATACAATTAAAAAAATGGAATAACAAGAATTTTATAGATATACCATGACTATTAGAATGAAAGACCAAGTTAGACAACTTTCAACAACTCAATTAACCCTATACTTTTATTACCACATTACCTTTATTAATTTATGTTTAGGATTAGATTTTGAAAAATAATTCGAGTGATAAGTAATTAGCGCTAAGAATAAAACATAGAAAAAATCATCGTTAAATAGTAGTTGATAAGTAAAAGTGAACCGAGGAGTATAATTTATATTTACTGGCTAGAAGATAAACTTGGCGGCTATTTATGTAAAGACACCTGCAAATCTAACCGACTCGTAATTCGGGTCACAGCCCAATCTCGTCGTAATATAAAACCCTTTTAGATATCCACATATCCCGCAAAAAAAGAAAAAGAAAAGAAAATCCACTGGAAAATACCGTTCCCTCCAAATCTCTACAAACCCTCGTAAAAATCCCCAAACTCCACAAAACCCAAACCCTCACACACTCAAAACAGAAGAAGAAAAATCTTAAGGCAGTTCTTGAAATTGTTTAATGGGGAAAGACGAAGATGAGATGAGGGGTGAAATTGAGGAGAGGCTGATAAACGAGGAGTACAAGATTTGGAAGAAGAATACACCTTTTCTTTACGATCTGGTTATTACTCACGCGCTTGAATGGCCTTCGCTCACCGTCGAATGGTTACCGGACCGGGAAGAGCCGTCCGGAAAGGATTATTCCGTTCAGAAGATGATTTTGGGGACTCATACATCGGAAAATGAGCCCAATTATCTCATGCTTGCTCAGGTTCAGCTTCCTCTTGAGGATGCTGAGAATGATGCCCGACACTATGATGATGATCGGTCTGAATTTGGCGGATTTGGTTGTGCCAATGGCAAGGTTTGAATCTATTCTGTTTTATGTCTTGCTTGACTGTTTTATATGGGTTTATTGTTACTACATTTTTCTGGCTAATTTTAGTTTGAAGGTCTGAGATTTACTTGTTTTGTACTAGAGTTTAGTTGTTCTAGGACTGCCTGTTTAAGAATCTATTGAATTTTGATAGCTTTGGGATTATGCTATATACTATGTGGTCTAAAGTTTTATCAACAACACTATAACCAGTGCAGTCCCGGAGTCTGCAGTGTGTACACAGACTTACCCCTACCTTGTGGAGTTTGAGAGGTTGTTTCTGTTAAGACCTTTGGCTCAAAGTTTTCTCCTTCGCAGCTTAGGTACTAGGGAGTAGTGAATTGAAAGTTGTCAGTTCAATTCCTGGATTTTGCTTAAGGTACAGTTAAAATTTCATCAAAAAAATCACCAAAGGAAAAAAAAAGGGGCCTAGCATAATTAGTGCAACATTTTCCGACTCACCGCAGCACCAAATAAGGGCACCTAATAGGTCAATCCCTTTGGGCAGAGTGAACTCTTTGACTGACATGTTCTTATTGAAATTCTATGCGTTGTTGTTTTTATTATTCCTCTTCTTTCTGAGTCATGATATTGTTGAAATGTTATCTTCTGAAAGGACACTTGAGGCTGTTATATCATATGAATAATGATGCTTGAACTGGTTTGTAACAAAGCCAATGCTTCCGGATTTGGTTAGAGTTCTAAAACTACTGGTTAAGTTGATCCACTCATCTGAATGCAAAGATGATTGGAAGCAACATTTTTGCAGGAGAAAACTGATGAAGTTTGAATAGCCAGCTAGAACTTCGAAAAGCTTATGAGAATACCATTTATGACTATCTCCTTTTAGTGTAGATTGATGTCACTGTTATAAAAGGTACTATCCACATATAGATTCAGTGGAAAGTTGATAATGAATTCTTCTATTTATGATGAGGGCATGAAACTGTAAAATCTTATTCTCTAAAAAAAGATTTTTAAAATGGTCTGTCATTGATGCAAAGATGATTGGAAGCAACATTTTTGCAGGAGAAAACTGATGAAGTTTGAATAGCCAGCTAGAACTTCGAAAAGCTTATGAGAAAACCATTTATGACTATCTCCTTTTAGTGTAGATTGATGTCACTGTTATAAAAGGTACTATCCACATATAGATTCAGTGGAAAGTTGATAATGAATTCTTCTATTTATGATGAGGGCATGGAACTGTAAAATCTTATTCTCTAAAAAAAGATTTTTAAAATGGTCTGTCATTGCCAATTATCACTTGGAGGCCTTATTCTGATATCTTTTTGCTGTACTACTATTTCCCCATAATATCAGAGTGAACTTCTTGTCTCTGTTTCAACATTGAGTGGCTTATGTATAATGATAAATATTTCTCTTTCAGGTACAAATAATCCAGCAAATAAATCATGATGGAGAGGTTAATCGGGCTCGATATATGCCCCAAAACCCATTTATCATTGCAACTAAGACAGTTAGTGCTGAAGTATATGTTTTTGACTACAGTAAACATCCATCTAAGCCTCCTCTAGATGGTGCATGCAATCCAGATTTGAGGTTAAGAGGCCACAGTACAGAGGGCTACGGTTTGTCTTGGAGTCAATTTAAGCAAGGTCATTTATTGAGTGGTTCAGATGACGCACATATATGTTTATGGGACATTAATGCCACTCCCAAAAATAAGGCTCTAGAGGCTATGCAGATATTTAAGGTTTGCCTGGTGTTTTTTTCATGAGTCTGCACTGGATAGATACTGCCATGTTACACTGCATATCATTATCAATTTGTTGCGCCTGCTTACTACTTGTAGTTTTATCTTGTGCAAATAACTATGATTGATAAATGGAGAAGAACTTGCATGCTGTCCTATCCAGCAAACACCCCCAGGCACCTCAAAGTAAAAAAAGATCAAGTGAAGCTGAACAGCATGAGATCTCTTTATTAATATCATGTTACAAAAGTTAAACTGAAACTTCAATAGTGTCCCAACTTTTACCTCAAAGGATATTTTTGGTCGCGGCATGTCTACTATTTGCTGTCTGAAGCTTCAGTCTACCTAGCATGGACAAGAATCTTGTCTCTCGGATTATTTTCTCATTAAGCTTTTGTCAGCTTTTCTTGGTTTATTCTAATATTTAAAATGTGTAGGTTCATGAAGGTGTTGTTGAGGATGTAGCTTGGCATCTGAGGCATGAGTATTTATTTGGCTCTGTTGGGGATGATCAGTATCTGCACGTCTGGGATCTGCGAACTCCATCAGTAACCAAGCCTATACAATCTGTAGTTGCACATCAAAGCGAGGTGCGGCTTAGACTTCTTAGCTGCACTTTTCCACGTTTATGTAGTTAATAATGCTTTCCTTTTGACTAGTGGAGGAACCACTCAGATATGTCTTATTAACATAGTTGGCAGTCTTTTGATTTTCTTGCATGGAATGTGAGAATCTCGTGCTTACAAAATAATTACAGTTTTTCTTAAAACTAGAATTTGTGTTTTCCAATTTTTACCCGCACTTTTTTTATTCACATTTGTGGGTTTACAATATTGGAATGTGCAAACAAGTAGTATTGCTGTGTGAAAACTATAATGTGATGTTCATGTCTGGATGAATTTTTGTTTCGTTTTATAGTGTGGTGCCTCCTCATGTTGCTCCATTAGCTCTATATCTCCTTCCCCACCTAGCACACTGTAGAATCAGTTGATCTAGTTTTCACATAACACACCTTGAAATAAACCCTATGATATGCTTTTTCCACTCTGTTGTGTTGACTTTAGGTGCATGCTATTAACCAAATATTCTTTGAAATAACATATGATCTATTTTAATAGATATTCGATTTTGATTGCTGCCCTATGTTTGTGAAATTTGACTTTAAATGGCTTAAGGAGAAGGTCCTGCCTTCCATACTCTATGCTGATTATTAGATGTACAAAATCATAGAAGGATGATCACTACTGCACATTGCCTATTAAATGAAAAACATTTCTTAATGCAGTTATCTAGATTTTAGTATTCGTAAACAAGCATGTTTGTGTTCATGATTCTGCATGATTGACCTCCTTTCTCTTTTGATCAGGTTAACTGCTTAGCTTTCAACCCCTTTAATGAATGGGTTGTAGCAACAGGGTCTACAGACAAGACAGTTAAATTATTTGATCTACGCAAGATTTCTACTGCACTTCATACCTTGGATTGTCACAAGTAAGATGTCTTCCTTACATATACTTTTGTGGAAAATGTTGGCTCCGTCATCATTCATGTTAAATAGTATAATAGAAGCTTGTACATCTGTATTTACTGTTGCTTATCATTGATTTCCTTGTAACTTTTCTACAGAGAGGAAGTTTTCCAGGTTGGTTGGAATCCGAAGAATGAAACCATTTTAGCTTCTTGTTGCCTTGGTAGGAGACTCATGGTTTGGGATCTCAGCAGGTTACTCTTCCAGCTATCCTTACTAGTATTTTCATGATATCAGAGTGAATGTTCTGTCGGTCCAGTGGGTGCTTTTATTCTGTCTTGCTCTTTGATGTTTTGAATTTTAGTTATTCTATCTATACGTTAACACCTGCCTTATCTTGCCAGCTATAGTTCACCTATAGTTGGGATTTATAATCTCTATTCCTTCCCTCTTCTCCCACAGGGCGTCAAGCCCCTGTACTCCTTAGAAAACCACCTCATACAAAAGTGGGAAAAAAGCTATGCCATTTCATTGTCTGCTTCTGCTCATTTATTTGGAAAAACACCTTTTAATCCTAAATTAGTATTTTGTCACTTCCTTTATAGGTTGCAACTTTTGTCACCTGACTCAACATGTGGATTTGGAACTCTGAAATAGGCTCATTCTGTTGTGTGTTTGAGTCTATATTGTACTGAATTATCCTAGCATGTGAAAATGACTACATCATATGCTATCTTGAGTACTGGCAAGTGTAGAATTGAAGTTCCATGTTGATTTGTGCACATGATAATCCAGATGTACAATTGTATTATCATGTGGTCTGAATCTGAGTTTCTGATCCAAGTCTCAGTATCTGGGATTGCACTTATTCACTGAATTGTTGGGTGGTATCCAATCCATTGTTTTTGCTTTGTGACAACTTGTCGTATAGAAGTTGGACTTTGACATTATAGATATCATTGCATTGAGGATTTGAAACCATGTACTTTAAACAGAACTTTAGAAAAACTAGTTTAACCATGATATTTTCTTGTGTCAAAAAAAGCCATTTCTGCTCAGTGATACATTTAACGTCTAGGCTTGAATGCCTTTCTATGGCGTTGCATGGGATTTTTTTTAGATGATTCACATGAATCACTAGAGGTTTTATATATAATGTTCCCTTTAAGATCTGCAGGCTGCAGTAAACCTGAAATTTCACTTTTTTTAAATTTGGTGTAGGATCGATGAGGAACAAACACCAGAAGATGCAGAAGATGGACCACCCGAGTTGCTCTTTATTCATGGTGGCCATACAAGTAAAATTTCAGACTTCTCATGGAACCCATGTGAAGATTGGGTCGTTGCTAGTGTTGCTGAGGATAATATACTACAAATCTGGCAGATGGCTGAAAACATCTACCATGATGAAGATGACCTGCCTGGAGATGATGCCCCCAAAGGTCCCTAGGATTACTAATATAGCCCTTAGGAGGGTATTGTAACATCAATTAGGAGAGCCTAAAAAATATGCTTGTTCTATTTGCCCCTCTACTCCCCCACATTGTCGCGTTATTTTTTCTTATCAATTTTCCTTTTGAACTGAGCTTCTGTCTACTGCTGTGATATCTATGGCTGTTAGCCTGTTACTTTAACAACTTGTTTTTCTCTTTTAACATTTCATTTATGTATTTAGGTTAAAAAAAAATTTGTATTGGCAAATGATTTGGCCAGCTTTATACTTTTCTAGATTCTATTTCTTTTTTCCTCCATAGTTAGCTGTGATTGCTTAAAGATGAAAGCAAAGTTCATGTGAGTTGATGATGTAGTTTTATTCCTATAAAGAATAGGATTGTGACAGGCTAGGCTACTAACATGGGCATGTGACCAAAATTATATGCTTTAATATAGGGGGTGGTGATCCATTCCAGTCCCTCATCTGTAAACGTGCATAGTTTGACAGTTAACAGATTAATTAACCCACAAAAGATGGAACAAAGCCAACCCTATCTGTTTAGCCAAAAAATGATCTTTCGTTAGGTATTGGGACAAGGAACAATAATATCGAAATAAAATGTAGGATTGTTTTATTCCATCATTGGTTAGAGGTATTAGTTGGTTCCGTAGATAACTTTGTCTATTGGAATATCAAGTGTACTTTTTTTTATTTAGTCTTGCAAAATACTTCTTCCTTCTTTTGTTAACTTGTCTATTTTAACAAATTAAAAGAGATTTTTTATCCTTTCCATTGACTATTTAAATATAACTAATAAAGATAATTTAATAAAACAAACCCATAAGAATAAGGAGCCGAAAGCCTCTGGGTTTCAAGTTCTGTCCTATTGTTTTCTTTGCAAGAAAAAAGGAAGCTTTTTTTTAGATAATAATAGTCGTTTTGATAAATCGAATTTGTTTAACATTTTTTAAAGTTGAATAAGAAATTATTTATTACTCATATCTACCATTACTGTTCTAATTAATAGAGTAATAATTTAGTGAGACATTAAATTAAGGATGAATTAAAGATAATAGATAATAATCTTATGGTAAATGCTATTGTTCTATTAAATATCTTTTTTAGAGGAGGTGTAAAAGATTTAAAAATACATATACTGTTATGGATCAACCGGAATACAACAATTCATTAATTAGTTGATTTTAAAACTTGTATATTTCGTGATATTTCTTTACGCCTTGGCATATAAAGTCAATTAAATCTTTGATTTTTTTTCTTGATCATTACTATTCTCGAATTGAGATATACTTACATGCACAATCTCGTAAGATAATTACTGAAAAATAAATAAATCTCCCAAGCTAATAAAGTATAATTCTTTTTAATTACGCAATGTAAAGCGTACGTGATCCACCTCATTAAGTATTACTTGTAAATTAATAATCTATATAGTTGAATTAAACTAAATTATACGTGTGTAAGTATGTTGTCATTGTGGGTTTGTATCAGATATTAGGTAAAATTATCTTCTAAATTCGACAATATTCACCTTTTAATTCTCGTAAAAATTGAGTTATTGGAGTTGTAATTTTTGAAATTTGAAGTTGTTTTTAGGTATGCATTTTACTTGAATAAAATCTTAAGTTCTGTGAGTAGAAATCCCCAAATCTGACTTATAATATTTGAAGATCAAGTTTTCAAAAAATTGATCAAATTTCATAATCCAACAAATATTAAAAGATAATTTTTTAAAATTTAATCCAAAATTTATGAACAAACGTTTGTTTAGCAAATAGTATTGCTATATACCTCTTGCCCATGAGATAGTAATAAATAACCCTACTCAAGTAGGAAACCCCTAGAATTCTAGACTCTATTCTTCCTTTATATCTCTTAACTCTTCCATAATGTTTTAGATCAATCTACATTTCCAACTAAATTTTAATTGAAACAATTTTTTCCATAGTAGCTGGAACTTGGGACTAGAATGGCCTAGTTGATAAGAGACAAATAAAACAAAATAAAATGAGAAATCAGATCTGATAAATGATTTTTTTATTTTTTATTTTTGATGAGAAACACTTATTCTAAGTGAACTTTACGCAATACATATATAAATTGATTAGATCAATAGGTCTTGAATGCCGATTGATTAAACCAAAAGAAGATAATAAAAAATAGCAAAGGATTAAACCAAAATTTTGTTGAATTAAGGAAGTATATTATATGACTAACCTAGTTTTTGATGTTTATGTTTTGACATATTGTGCCTAAGTTGGAAAAAAAGAGAGGAGGTGAACAAAATAGACTGGCTTTCTATTTGATAATGAAATAATCGCCCAATACATAAGTAAGACGTAATATTATAAACCACAAAAAAGTGAATAATTGATTGACACTTTAAATCGATGTTTTTGAAATTACCCCAAATATATAAAAATGGAATGAGCCTTTTGGTTTCAAATACATTTCCACCAGTCTTTGGAATTTTTTTTTGAAAAATGGAGGTTTTAGATTTTATTTTTCTATTATGAATTTGTTTGTTGCAGAAATTTATCATCTTCCACTATTACACCACAACATCTTGCATTATCATTTGAAGATTTTTTTATAGCCATACAACAAAGCTAATTTTTTTATAATTTTGTAAAATGAATAATGTATAATAAAGAATTGATTTTCTCGTACAAGTTTAAAGAACATACAGTTTTTGATGTTTTTTATTTGTCTTGGCACAAAAGTTACACAAAAATGATTACTCCCTCCGTTTAAAAAAAATGACCTCATTTTCTTTTTAGTTTGTTTAAAAAAGAATGACCTTTTTCTTTTTTGGTAATATTTTAATTTCAACTTTTCACGTGATATGTTTAACGCCACAAGATTAAAGTACAATTTTATACATTTGATATAATTTTAATTTAGGACCATAAAATTCAAAAGTCTTCTTTATTTTCTTAAATTTCGTGTTAAATCAAACTAGACCATTCTTTGTGAAACGGAAGGAAAAGAGTAATTAGTTGTGCTATTTAAAATTGTTAATTTCATCTGATTTTTTTCTCGAAAAATGTGAGAAAATATTAAAATAAGAATATGCTTAGTACCTCCGGAAAATTAAAGCTGACGTGTCATTTAGCCTAGTAGTCACGATTCCCAATGTTTGATGAAACACCTCACGTCTCAAACAAATGGCAACACCAATAATCTAACCACTCATCACGTGTGGCCTTCACTCTCCACTAATAAACTAAATGCAAACTTTTGGTGATTTACTATTAATCGCGTACTCCTTCCGTCTCAATTTATATGATTTATTTAGTTGATATAAAAAAAATATTAATATATTTTATTTATTTTAGATCACAAATTTCAATTTTTTTCCATGTAATTTGATAGAAATATTCAAAACCATTAAAGTGAAAAATCAGATAAAGAAAGACAAACTAAACAACTTAATAATTATTTGATCTCTCTTTATTTTGTGCTATTTTCCCAACAAAGTCAAACTATTTCGTTTATCATTATCTTTATTAATGGTTATGGGTGATAAAATCACTATCGTTATTAATGCTTATCATGATCCTGACCATTATTATCATCTTTCGCAATTTCACATTTAAGGTCTTGAAATCGTGATTATTCGTATTCTTTTTAATTATTTTTATTTTAATTTTGACTCATCAATTTATTTATTTTAAAAGAATCATTTCAATATTTTACAAGAAAATAAAAAAAATTAGGAAGCTATCATAAAAAAATGTAAATCACATATAGAAAATAATGGTCGCGTGAATATCAGTTTCCGAAGGCGCGAGTGAAACCGCCACCTAACTGCCGTCGAGTGGAGAAAAAGAGTAGCGTAGAAATGACTCCACGAATCCCATGAATTTTCTCTCTCTACCATTTCCCCTTCTTTTTCGCTTTTTTACTTTCTCTCTCCTCCAAATCCAAAATCCCCAAATTTTTTCTATTTCATTTTTCAATGCCCGCGCTCTAAAGTGAATTCCCTCACAGATCTCTCTCCTTTTTACGAGAAAACCCTAGCTTTCTATCTCTTTCTTTCACCTTTAAGCGTCCTTCCTTTTTGTTGCCTATTCATTCATACTCCAGTTTTAATCAATTGGGTTTTTTTCCCGGTAAGAATGATGTATTTTTTTTGTTTATTTTTATGATTTTTTGAGGTTTGGTGGTTGTGGGATATATGGGGATAATGGGACAATTGATGGATTTGATAATTGGATAAAATTAATGGTGAATCTGAGATTGATGGGGGTGATTAGAAAAGGTCAAGGAGAGTCATGTGCTTGGCTTTGTTATTATGTTATTTAAATAATTGTTTGCTGTACTGAGCTTTTGAATTATTGCTATTAATTTATTCGTTTTGTTATCTGTATTCTCGCGTGATTTTGTTCTGCTGGGGCACGTTGTTTCGTGTATTAGATGCATTTTCTGAACCTGTCTTTGCTTAAGTAGTAGGTAGATAGGTGGGAGTTGAATTCTATCGGGGTGTATATATATAGATAGATAGCGTGTACTTTTTTGCTGCTCACAATTATCATTTTTTGGATCCAGATTCGCTCTAAACTCAAGGTGGGTATGAGTCTTTGCCTTTTCTTTTTTGATCAATTTAGCTTGATGGTCTGTATAATGTGAATATGTCTTCATTCTTGGTGTTTGGATATCTGTTGTTGTGAGGTGTTTTTCCCAACTGGGTTGTTGGTTGATTTTTCTGGGGAAACGATGGATGGAGGTCAAATTGGCTGGTTGTTCATCTGAATTACAATTTTCTAAGAAGATTCTGTCTAAGCTAATGCAAAATTTGATCTTTATGTGTACGGGTAACATCTGGCTTTGGTATATTTGAATGTGATTGGGTGGTCTGATCATCTTTTTGATTTTGATAAGAGGTGTTCCTATGGCTCTTAACAGTGTCTGGATTCCCCAATTCTAAATTCTTCAGTTTTCCCTCTTCATCTGGTCGTACTTTTTATGGTAGTCTGATTATCATTGTTATAATTCAATTGATCAGATTATTAATGAGTGTGTGATTTGTTGGCGTTTGAGCTAGAATCAGGGGGGCAGTTCACTTATGATCAGATCTGTAGCTTTAAGAGTTCCAATTTTATGCTAGGAGCTGACATTTGCTTGAGAGGTGTAGAAATATTTCTTTTTTTCCTTTCTGAAAGATGAAGATTTATTGAGTTGCAGCAAATGGGTTGAACATTTAGGCGTCGCATGTTAACTTTTCAATAATTGTTGATCAGGGTCTTATTTTTACACACAGGCACATGTATATTTTTACGTATTAGCTACTCCCTCTTTTTTAATTTATGTGAACAGTGAACATATTTCCTCTTTAGTCCGCTTAAAAGAGAATGTCCCTCCCTAAATTTGGAAACACTTTGATTTAAATTTCCATGTTTCCCTTAATGAGAAGTTTTTATAGCCAAACAAATGTTATGACATGTTTAAGACCACAAGTTGGTAAAGTTGTATAGCCACACAAATGTTAGGGCATGTTTAAGGTCACAAGTTCAAAGGTTTTATTTCTTTCTTAAAGTATGTGCCAGCTTCACATATAATTGGAAGTACAGGGAGTTGACTAGTGAGGTCCTCCCATAATTCATGTGGTGGTGGTGGTGTGTGTGTGGGATAATATACCATCAGAGACAATTCCTCGTTGAGTTGGATTGACTTTCTGTGCATGTTGAGGAAGTCTATATTTGTCCTGATGCGAATGGAAGTTCTCCGCTCTGTCTGCCGCTGTTTAGTCTTTTTGGCATGGAGCTGTTTTTTTCCTTGGTCTTGACTTGGTTTTGAATCCTTCACTACTCTTTTATTTGAGGGTGGAATTCGAGAATTTTAAGTTGATGACTCCTGAGCATAAAGTAAAAAGAAACAGATAGGATGACAGGGAAGGAAGGATAGTAGCAGCTGGGTTGCTTTATTTCATTTCCTAAGTTTTTTCCTTATCTTCACTCTTCTGTGATCAAATTCAATTAAATGTATTTGCCATTCCTAGGTTTTTTCATCAGGGAGAATAGGCCCAGGGGGTTACTCTCCTGATGCCTCTAATCATTCTCATAAAGTTGGTCTGAATGCATGTCAAGTATTTTTACTTACCAACATATTATGGGCAATTACCCAGTTATGCCGACTCATAATTCTAAAAGATAGGTCTAAGTTGCTTTTTGACTAGATTTAATTTATAAAACTTTATTTTCGTAATCAAGTCATTGTGAAATTTGACTATGCTCTGAATATTAGCTTCAGATAGAGCTTAATTGATACAAATTATTCATATAGCTAAGCCCAAATACTTTGGGATTGAGGTCATAGTGGACTGGTATGATGTAGTATTGAATTACCAGACTGCATGATCTCTCTATTAGCATAGGGCTCTTTATCCTGCAGTTTAGTGATGGATCTAACACCCCTTATTATTTCCTCTTTTACTCTCTCGCGTAAGGTCTATCCTACTCTTCTTTCCTTCTTGATCCTCAGATACCGGATGTGACTGCTCTCTCTTTCTAATTTAATGCAATCATGCTAAATTATTGATGTTCTATTCATGCAGATCTGTTTAGGAAATGGCGAAAGGGACCACAGGACGACGTAGGAATGGTTCTCGACGATGCAGGGCCACCCCATACCCTTTGCCATCTGCTAACCATTCTGAACTTGTTCACCAAAAGAAATGCTCTAAAATCTTTGAGAAGAAAGACTGGGAAGATGCAACATGTTCTGTATGCATGGAATATCCCCATAACGCTGTGCTTCTCCTGTGTTCCTCTCATGACAAAGGTTGCCGCCCCTACATGTGTGGAACTAGCTTGCGCTATTCTAACTGCCTCGATCAGTACAAGAAAGCCTACACTAAAGCAATACTGCCAGATAATAATCAACCTGTGCAGGGTGATAATGATACTCCAACTGCTGAACCATTTTCTACTTTGCCTTCTGAGAAAAGCGAGGTCTCAGAAGTTGCTTGCCCACTATGTAGAGGCCAGGTGAAGGGATGGACTGTGGTTGAACCTGCTAGAGAATATCTAAATTCGAAGAAGCGTAGCTGCATGCAGGATGATTGCTCGTTTGTTGGAAGCTACAAGGAGATACGAAAACATGTTAAGGCAGAGCACCCCTGTGCTAGACCACGTGAGGTAGATCCTCTTCTTGAACAAAAATGGACAAGGCTTGAGAGGGAACGAGAGAGGGATGATGTTATCAGCACTATAACTTCTTCTATGCCAGGGGCTGTGGTTTTTGGTGATTATGTGATAGAAGGAAGTCATTATGGTTTTGATTCGGATGATGAAGAGGGTTTTGATGCGAATGAGATGATGAATGGGAATGAAGGTTTTGGAATGGGCATCGATCGCAACTTGATGAATGTGTTTCTGTTTTTGCAGGCTTTTGGTTCAGCAGGGAATATTGGGTCAAATCGGGTTATGAGGCGGCACGAGAGAGACATAAGTGATACTTTGGATAGAGGTGCTGGTGGAGTTGACCGAAACCTCCCAATTGGTGGTTTTGAGTACTCTGATGATGACAGTGACAATAGTGGGGACGATAATGATGATAGTGGTATGTCACTAGTTGGGCGTCTTCGTCGTGAAGGTAGAGTCCTCTTGGGTCGCTCTGGGAGGAGACGAAGACGTAGAGAGGCCAACGCAGGTCGGAGATAGATGTAATTTGTGTATGTTTGAAATTGTGAAAAAAGAAATAATTATAGGTCTTAGTCTAGGATTTAACTGTGCTCTAACATTCTCATGCACATCTGCCTCAGATTGATGTTTGATACATGGTAGATTGTAGGATGGCTCAGAAATATTGGCGGGCACTTGAAGAAAGCTCAGTTTCACTGTGATTTGTAGTTTGTAATTTCCTTATTCTGTCTTTTGAACATTTATCTGTCAATTCTTGTATTAATGCAATTTCTGATGTACATTTTTCATATCTTGTTCACCTTTTCACCATTTCAACTTGTATGAATGTTATTTAGATCTGGAGTTGTTTCTCTTCTGTAAACCAGACTAGGCAAGAGCATGTCTCTAGCCCCAGTAGTTGAAACGGTTATATGGACTTGAATTGTGGACATGTGAAGAGAATAATTTTCTGGTAGACTGGGTACTTTTTTTTTTATCCCTTCCCTTGCTTTTTTAGCTCGGGCACTCTTTGTTCTTTTAAGGATAACCTCTCTCTGAAAAAAATATAAAAATATTTTAATTACCGATTCCATGCGGAGTTGCTTTTCCTTGCTCCCAGAGGAGATTAGGCCTTAAGCTGCTAATATCGTCGTCTGCTTGGATGGTTCAAAACAGCAAAAGCAAAAGATAGTTTTCCCTGTTCACATAATTAGAATATAGTGAACTGTTTTGTGCCACATAATCCATATTTACACCATTTAAGACCCACATAATAACTGATTTTGGTTCACCATCCAGTACCTGCACTGGAGGATTGATCTGGATTGGTGTTGCTTAGGGCCATTTGGGGAAAATGCTATTTTAGCAGAAAGTTGGATATTAATGACATTAAAATCTGAATCAAATTCGCTTTCCAAACTGATTTGACTAGTTCCAGCATTGTGTTGGTCCAACAGGTAACCGCAAAATAAATTTCTAAGCACGTATAATATCCTATCATAATAACTAGGTGATTGTTATTTATCTAGTCAATCAAATATTTGAACGTTTTCTCAGTGTAACTGACACTGATTACATTTACAATGGTAATGTGAATATTTAAAATGATAAGAGATTGTACAAGCAATAAAGAACAAGTGTGTAACATTATCGTATACATAACAATGTCAAAATAATACTACAAATCTTTTTTACTTATTATTCCTGTGGGGACACCATAACAAACTGGGGCTGCTCCAATCAAAAAAGGGAGAGTGCATGCCTCTCGAGCTTGCCCCATGAATGATCCAATCTTTGGTCTATGGTTACAGTGGTTAGTAGATATATTGTTATTATACATATCAGCTGTTGTATCTTTCTTTGTCTTTACCCTTTCACTTCTTTTTCTATCACTAATTTTTAAGGACTCAAGTTTATCTGAAAGTGTATCACATTGATCACACCTAAATGAAACATTTGATCTCTCTCTCAAAATAGCATCAAGCATGCTCTTCCCAAATCTGTCAATATCCTTGTCTGTCACTTCCCATAAATTAGCTACTATAACTGGTGAACCTGCGAATAGATAGCACAGGGGAGCACCTCGAGGAGCATAACATCCATGCAGATACAGTGATCCACTGCTGCACCCCATAAGCAGAGTAGCAGCGCAACTCTCTAGTTTTTTCACCTCATGCTCGGGGATATATTGTGCTCCTGAAATACCAGCATAGCAACATATGTTATTCCTAAAGGAGCGTGTAGGCAATATTTAGTAAAAACTAATGAACCATGATAATATCGTCAATCAGTTTATATTTGAGTGTACCGCTTCCGTGGCCGAAGTAAATAAAAAGATCATGACTCCTCAATGCCTCAGCTAATTCTTCTACAGCTGGTGCAGTTCCACACTTCCCCTGCACAACGAAGTTAAATGCTTTTGTTTAACATATCCTAGGAAGGGGTGACAAATCACATTATGGTTATACACTCCAAATATTACTAGAGCCACTTGGGATTTTGCAGATGACATAATAATGCTCATCATATCATATATCATATATATATATATATAAAAGAGAACCTTAGGCTCGCCTACGTAGTGCCACCACGAACCAGAATTCCCTTTCAATTTATTTATTTACAAAACTAACCTTTCTCTTTTATGAAAAGTTGTGGCTTTTAAGAAAGGATGTGACCTTTCCAAAGGGTTGCAACTTTTCCAAATAGTTATAACCTTTCCGATAAGGCACAATAAACATTTGTTCACACCACCCTTTGTTATCTATGAGAGATTTCCTCTCATTTTTAAACAACAAAAATTCTGAACCTCCTCTTCTTCTTCTTCTTCACAATTAAATATTTGTGTACTTTGCTCCTGTTGAGTGGCTCACTAACACCATTGTTTATGTTACAGATCCTGGTATGTATTTTTATAATCATTTATTTATGCTTATGTTATTAAGGATAAATGATAAGATGTAATAATTTTAATTTTCCTTTACATTATTAATGTTTCACACTACCCTTTATTGTCTATAAATAGAGGGGTTTCCTCTCATTTTAAAACAACGAAAATTCTTAACTACTACTTATTTTTCTTCTGCACAATTAAATATTTGATTATGAACTTCTTCTTCTTTTGCACAATTAAATAATTGTGTATTTTGCTCTTCTTGAGTGAATCACTGACACTATTGTTTTTGTATCATTACACTGATGAATAAAATTGTTTCATCCTGAGAGGATCTATTTCTTTAAACCTCGGGTACTAGAGGAAATAATTTTCTTAAGGAGACATTGTGCATTCAGTGGGCTTGATTTTTCCTTTCTGTTTCATTATATTGTTACAGATCCTGATATGTTTTTTTTACAGTCATTAATTTATGCTTGTGATAATAATTATTGTTTTTGAGTACATGTTTTGAACTTTGTTGTTTATGTTTCTGTAAAATTATTGTTATAAGTATTTGTTAGTATAGACTCTATGTAAATCCAACTACAGCAGATTCACAATTAACTTTTTACATAATACATTTCTGTACAAGATTTTCCAAAGAAAACTTTTCTTCTCCAAGAGATCAAGCCTAAAAAATTATATGATTTTTTTTTTGTTGTCATAATAATGTTAATATTAACAGGAGTAAAAAAAATATAGAATTAAAACTAGCAATTGATTACAATTGTATGATACACAATGATGACTATTCTCTCGCACCAAAGTACTTTTTTGAACTTTTTTTTCCATTATGCCTTACTTCTCTTTCACCCTTTTAAAGGATCCTTAATGTTTTGTTTGTGCCCAACTTCAATTCCAAAATACTATCATAACTATATTACATATGAAATTTTGATTTGGAAGATAGCATTTTAATTTTAAAACACATAATGACTACATATTACTTATTGGTATATCATATGATTATGAAACCTTTGCTCTTGATAAACACATTAGTTATATATATATTTATATATATTTTTAAAAATATTTAATATTTTGAAAGTAATTGATAGTGTTATACTAACGAAATTTGCAAAGAAGAAAATTGAGAAAAATATTTTCTTGACTCTCTAATTAAAGACACTATGTAACCATGCATATAGATGATAAAAATAAATTAACCATTGTAAAATTTCAAAAGCAAATTAATGAATCTGTAAAATGAAATTATATAAACTAGGAGAAAATAGTGTTATGATTTGTATTTTTGCATTTTCTTTTAATAAAACAAATGATAAACTACAATTGAATAACCTCTATACTCTTAAAAATAGATTTATATAAAAAATACTATAACATACAAGAAAAATTCTATTCTAATAAATTTAAAACAAGAATGTTTTAACCGCACGAAGCGCGGGCCCATTTACTAGTTTTTAATATAGGGAAAGACATGGTTAACAACTATGAATTCAGAATTGTTTCTTAGTTCATGATATTATATGCGTATATGTATATATATTGTTTTTTAAGAGAGCAACAATAACATACCCAGTGAAATTAGTTGGCTGATTGACTAATAAGATTATTTGTCCTAATTATTCATTGTTATAAGATAGTATATATCAGTGGAAACAAACTAAAATAATAGAACCACTGCAGTTTCCACTAAAATAAACTACTTTTTGCTAGTTATTCCTCCCATTTAAAGAAAACATATATCTCAATTTTCTGTTGAAATTCATAAAAGATAATAGGGCCCTTTTAGCAATCACAAAAAAGGGAAGAAAAGCATAATTTTTGTAGAGTATATATATAGATGAACCTTTCACATACATGCACGTTCAGAAAAGGCAAAATGTGATACTTAGTCTAAGGGTTTTCTTCCTTTTACTGTTCTAATTCCAGGAGTGAAGTAGAGAAGTACCTCAAAATCCTGATCTCTGAACCAGTTTTCAAATTCACTCTGTGTACTGCTGAGATCTCCACTTGGATTCAAAAGATAATAGGAATCCAGTGGATCAATCAGTGGAATGGAAGGTGATGATGGAACCTCTTGTTTCATAGGAGATCCCCCCTTCTGAACTTGCTGTTGATCTTGGCAACACTTGATCAGCGTTGCTCTGATGCTGCTAACTGAAGGCATGCGATAAACCTGCTGGTTTCTTAATACCGGTAGGTTCTCCCAAGGAAGCATCTGCAGAAGTTGTCATTATTTTTCTTACCAAAACCTTCTGTTTAAAGAGGTTTACTAGAATTTTGCCAATTAGGGAACAATTAAAAAGAATCTTGCCAATTAGCAGAGAAACTTTTCCAACTTGGAGAAGTTCAAACAGTTGCAGCACAACTGCGTAACTATGCACAATGTATAGGCTTACACGATACAACAAATTGCAATATTTAACAAATCTATCATTTCCCAAATTGCAACTTCTTGAAGCATGGGAGGACTTTATATAAGGAACTTCAGATATAATGAAGCACAAAGTTGAATCAAGACTCTTCAAGCAACCAATACTAAAAGAATAACCAGGAAGCAAAGATAAAAGTAAACACACCTGCACCTCAAGATCCAAAACAAGAATAACTGGTCTTCTACTCATGGATTCAATCTCTTCTATCTCTTGGGCTTCATCAATTATAGACTTGTATACTGAATCACAGAGACTTTCAACTTCTGTAGATGTCTTACATAACACATTGGAGTTTCCATGACACCCTCCATGTAGGTGACACCCTTTATTTATAACCATCTGAGAAATGCAATTTTCTTTCTCACAAGCGTACTTCGCACCTCCAAGAATTACTTTAAGAAGACTTTCATGAACATCTGCTCCAGCTTTACGTCTAAAATGATCATAGAGTTTCTTTACTAGTGAATCCAGGAGC